AGTGATTCGTGACATTATCACTTCCCATCTCAGATCCCTGGGCTCCTGGCCATCCTGAAGCCTTTCCTGTTTCCACTTGGCTGGAAGCAGATGGAGACTGACAGATGTCTCCTTTCGGAATGGAAGTCTTCACACACATCCCCAAGCAGCCACTCCCTTGCAGGCGCTGGCAAGAACAGCGCTTCCCAAGATTCTCCCTAGATATCCAGACCAGAGTACTTGCAGTCCCTCCACACTGGCTTCTTCTCTCCCACCTTTCCCTCCTACCAGCCGCCACTGCTCCAGGGATGGCCCTTTCATCCCCTCCCCCATAAGCCTTGCCTGGGTCCTTTGGTTCCTTACACCTTGACCTTGACCATCCCGTCCTCTCTTGGTGGCAGGGCTGCCATATGTCCTCACAGGTTTTCTCATGACTTGTACTCTTTTTCTTGCTGTGATGATTTGGTCAGGGGGTAGTTCATGCTCTCAGGAGGCCTGTCTCCCACCCTACCACACCGCACATCTGGGTTTGGGTTGGCCACCTTGCCTCTGATGGTGACAGTCCTTTTCTGCATCTGAGGGTGCTTGGGAGGACCAACTGAGACCATGTGTACAGATGTACCTGGGGAGCAGGTGCATCTGCAGAAGCTGGAGGAATTATGCAGGCTGTTTTTATAGGGGGCTCACATGTCCAGGCTCTACACCTTCCCATGCTGAGAGTGGCTGAGCAGCTGGGTCTCAGGACCTCCTGGTGGACCTGACTCTGGCTCTGAGGAGTCTAGGATAGAAAGTCATCTGCAGAGGCACTGATGCAGAAGACTTCTTTAAAACTCACCGGCCAGAGTGTCTGACTCACAACCCATCCACTCACATCTTCTCCCTGAATTGTACCACCAACCTTGACTGCTTTTACATTCACAAACCCATTTTCTACTTCCCAAAGGGCGCAGTTTGGAGCTCAGGCCTCGAGACTGATAGCCAAGAAGTAATTAGCAGGTGTCTCTTTTCAGCAGCCTCTGAAGGAGGAAGTGACTGTTCTCCAGGCAGGTGGGGGCAGAGCAGGGAACACAAGATCATGTCCACCCCATCACCCCAACATGACTGGAGGAGACTTGACCCGGCACATGGACTCTACTTCTAGGCACCCCAGGACTTCCTGGGGGAATGTGCAGGTTTCCTCTGAGCTCACTGGGACAAGTGACTTTCAGGGAATAACTGAAATGTGGCTCCCTCCCTCTGGTGGTAGTTGGTTACCAGCCAGGAACTGAGCAGCCACTGGTGGTCAGAGAGGCTCCAGCCTCACTGAGGGTTTCAGGATGGGGCCAGGCTCCGAGTCACTTCAGAAGGTGGTGTGTGTTTTGGGTGTGTGTTTCAAGGAGAGCTAGAAAATGTCTTTAACCCCAGTCTCGAAGTGTCTGAGAACCTCCCAAATTTCTGCCTGCTGCGCACAGCAATGATTCATCATTTCTTATTATATACATTCATGAACAATTTATTTGCTTATTGGGTCCTGATCGCTTCCTGTCTGCTAGTCTTGAAGAAAACGCTTTGCATTAAGTCACTCCAGCTGAGGCTGTAGCTCAGCTTAACTTTTCAGGTCACCTTTCGGGCAGCCGGCTATAAGGTTCAGAGGAAGAATAGGAGAGGCCCAGAGGGGTGGGGAGTCAGGCAGAGGACTAGCTAGAGGAAGGTCAAACTCTCTGAGAGTGCCCTGGAGATGTGCTGCCCAGACCCCTCTGCCAGCTTCTGAGTGTGGTCAGCAGACGTCTCCAGCTGTCAGCTCCTTCACGGTCAGGCCCAGCTTCTGAGAGCCACCTTGTCAAGGTCACATTCTTCTCAGGGCAGTCCACCTCTAGTGACCTACTGAGGACAGGACGTTTCCGCTTGACCCAGGATGGGGCTGATCAGTGATGATGTTCAGTTCAGAGTTCCTTACGCGGTGGCCAGCGCCTCACTGGCACTGTCACATTCAGCTTCTACCTCTGCCATATCCTGCTTCTGTCCCTCTTCTTGCGTGAGTGTTGTGAACATCATACATCCAGATTCTCTCCAAGAATCTGCTTCCAGAGCACCCAAATGGGCCTGCTTCATGGTTCTCCACAGGGATGGGTCAAAGTCATGCTTCATCCCAGTTCCAGGCCAAAGGACCCGTAAAGCTGATGTGCAGGGCTCTAAAATGCATTCCAGCACAACCAAGCCAAAGTTGAGGATGATATTAGAGATGGTGGTCATCTGGATGCATCCAGCTGTCCAGGAGAAAACCTATCTAGTCCATTGTTGCCTCAGTGCATTTGTACTTCCCGTTCTCTCTGCCAAAAAAGCTGGAGTTTGTGCCCACACTCACCTTCTTACACAGGATTTCCTTGACTCATAATTGAAAAGATCTCCACTTAATGCTCAGTCCCGAACTGTGTGGTTTGTTATCTTTGGTTATCAAAACAGCCAAAGATAACTATGGCTATTTAATTTTCCAATGCCTTTATTCCCCATCAGAATGTGAATCACATGAAAGCAGGAAATTTTGTACCTTGTTTGCCTCCATATCCGAGGACAGGATGGCTTATGTGAGTGTTCAACAGAGAATGAATACACAGATAGGATGGGCAGATACTTCTTGAGTGTCAATAACAGAATCTGGAATTTAATGATATTCACTTTGCAAAATATTAATTTGTGCTTTTCCCTTCCTGTAAGTGGGAGTAGAGAAACTTTTTCTGCAAAGAGATGTTAGTAAAGATTTTTGGCTGTGCAGGTCATAAGGCATTTGTTCTGATCACTTTGCTGCTGTGGCCTAAGAACAGCCATGGGCGGGCTGGGGATTTAGCTCAGTAGTTCCGCCACCTGCTTTGCAAGCACAAGGTCCTGAGTTCAATCCCTGGTATCAAAAAAAAAAAAAAACTTTCTTAGGGCCGGGGATTTAGCTCAGTGGTGCCGGCACCTGCCTCCCAAGCGCAAGGACCCGAATTCGATCCCTGGTACCAAAAATCAAACAAACAAACAAACAAACAGAATAGCCATGGGCAATACGATAAATCTCTATTTGCAAAAACAGGTGGCTGCTGGATTCGACTGGCAAGTGGTTGTTTGTTGTAACATAAAATTTCCTATAAAATACATTTATTGACGTAAAGAAGGAAGTCTAATTAAATAAAAATACTAACTACCTTTATGGAAACCATATGCAAATTCCTGAAGTTGGGGAGAATTCAGTTCCAATTTTCCTTGCAACTTCTGCAGCTACAGCTGTGGGGGTGGAAGGGGTAGAAGGGAGAAACCCCCTGTAGTCTCACATTGCCAGAAAGGGTGGGAAGATCACACTTAGTTCTTTCCTGGAGCTTGGTAGGGCCACAGTTCTGCTTTTTTCTTCTGGTGTTACTTTGTGCTATATTCTTTCCACGCCTCACTTTGCTCCTAGAACTAGGGGCTATCTTCAGTGCTCTGGCTTGGGAAAGGTTTGCTTACATGAGTTTGATTACCCAGGCCCAGGGTTGCCTGTGGTCCCATTAATCTACCTCCAAGCCTAAACATGCTCTGAGTTTAAATACACGCATGGCATGACATTAAAATGTGGTGGTGGCAGAAGGTGACAAAGTGCTAAGCCTTTGGGAACAGGCATGGCTCAGATCTACTGACCACCTACTATAGATCAGGCCTACTCCAATACAAAAATATTATCCTCATCTTACAAACAAACAGAGGAGGCACAAGCAGAGGAGCACCAAAAACAGAGGGGCACAAAAACCTGAGTAAGTAGTCCAAAGATATTCAGCTAGCAGGAGGCAGAGCTGGGATTTGAACTCAGGATGTCTGCACCAGAGTCCATGTTGCTGGCACAGATGGCTGTGATTCTACACTGCCACCCTCCATGGACAGTAAGACTGATGTTTCCCAGTAATCCAAAACACAGCCACTCTTCTTCCTCCATAACTTTTTGAAAAATCATTTTTTAAAAATTTATTTACTTTAAAATAAAAGTATGCAACTCAGTGACAGTGGTGTACAGTGCTGTATAAGGACCACCTCTTGTTTCAGTACATTTTTTGGTCATTTCAGGCCATATTCATTAAGCAATCCTACCCTCATCCTTCTTTTCTCCTTCCATGGCAACCACTGGTCTATCTGCCTGGTTTCTCTATTAAGTTATTTCTTCTGGATATTTCATATAAAAGGCATCATATAGTATGTGGCTCTTGGTGGCTTATTTCAAGTTCATCCAAGTTGTAGCATGGGTCAGTATTATGTACGTATGTACATATATGGAGGTATGTGTATTTTAGCACTAAGAATTAAACCCAGGGCATCACACTAACTATATCCCCAGCTCCATTTGTTTTTAAATGTTTGAGTCAAGGTCTCCTCTATGGCCCAGGCTAGCCTTCAACTTGGGACCCTTCTGCCTTAGTCTCTCAAGCAGGTGGGGTTACAGGCATGCACTAACCATTCTGCCTAGCCATTAATTTACGCTCTTTATGGCTCAGTTTCTACAGGGCTATATAGCAGGTGTGCCATTGCCCAGTACTTGGTCATATCAGTTATACTCAACTTTGTGGGTCTCTTAATATCCAGCAATGGAAGATTTATCTCTCCCACTAGGTAAGGAATTCACTGGCTTTTTACTGGGAGAAACTCTTACAGCTCATGCTCTGATGTGGGACATTGGGCCAATTTGTACACCTGCTCCATCTCTTCTTCTAACCTGCAAGCCCCTTTATTTATATTAGTGGTGCATCACACACAACATCCAAGGGGTCTGCCAAGTGGTGGTTGTACAAACTGCAGCTGGTCTTTCCTGCTCTTTCTTCTTGACTGTCCCTGACCAGGCTTTGCTCCACCCCAGGATTCTAGAATGTTCAGGGAAGAAAGGACCTGGAAATTCACCTGGTCAAATCCATCTCTGAATGGGCAAAATGTGGAGAGGTCTTCCCTGGGGTCACATAGCTCACGGGGGACACAGCAGGCATGCAGGAGCCTTTCCTCTGTAACCTCTCCACCTCTTCCTCTCTTGGTCTTTACAGGTGGGGCCCCCTGTGAGTGCAGGGGAGGTGGCCCCCTCCTTCCTGGAGCAGCTGGGTGGATTCTCACTGAGGCCAGCCGTCCATCAACCTGACTTCTTCCGGCTTCCTCTGCACAACGGCTCCCTAGAGCCCCCGTGAGACACTCCAGGAACCAGCTGCCTGTCAGGCACCTTATTAAACTCATTTCCAGATGTCTCCACCTCAGCCCGAGGAAGCAGGAGGAGAGTGAAGGGTGGGAGTTTGTCCCTTAAGTGAAATCAGCTGGGTCCATAATAAATAATGTTTTGTATTGATGCAGCAGGTGCCATGGAAGGTGGCATGATGCGGAAGACATCCTTAGTGAGGCCATGTGTGAGGAAGAGAGAGGCTAACAAACAGACCAGACCATTTAGGCAAGGGAGGAGAGCTAGTTGGACAACTAGAGGTGGAATTGGGGTGGGGAAGATCTGCAATTGTGAATGTATGAGAAAAACAGGAAGGAGAGAGAAAAGAAAGCTGAACGGGGAGATGGGGACAGAGGCCAAGACAGAGTTGTTGTGCCTAAAATTTTCCATTGTGCTGGTCTGCCAGGGTCTGTGTCATTCACAACAGCTTATAAAATCCACAGCTAACCTTGGGCCTTCCGGTGCACCAAGCCTGGTGCTTTATAGACAGCAGCTCGTCAACAACTTCAGGAGGGAGCTACTGTGATTTTACCATTTACAGACAAAGAAAGCGAGGCTCAGACAATTTAGAGAACTTGCTCAAAGTCACTCCATGGAACTAGGGAAGTCTGGCACCCATGCTTGTACCCTTAGCCATCCTACTCTCCTTCATGGTGGAATTTGGAGAAACAATCTTTCCAGGCAGAGATCTTTTCACTGTTGATTGGCACATACTTGTGAGACTTATCTGAACATGAGTTCAGGCAGAGAGATAGAGGAAGAAATAGGAACACATCCTTTCTTCCAAGCACTTATTTTGAGTGGTATTGTTGTGGGGAATATGAAATATGATTTCTCAACTTGTTAACTGTATGATATGCTGAGTTTTTGTTTTTTAGAAACCAAAGAATGAGTCTTAGGAACAACGGAGGTTAAAAGTAGGAAGATATTTATGGATAGGAAAGCTTCTGAGGGTCAGGAGGAGTCCTGAGTGGGTAACCAAGGGCCCTACTTTATAGAGAAGTTTTATAGGGTGAAACCCATGTGGGTATCATGTGGGCCACAGCCATGAACATCCAATAAGGTTACAAGTATAGTCACTTAGATAATGGCGGTCCAATTGGAAAGCAAGTCACATAACAAGTGTGGATGGAAAGAACAAGGATTTTCCTAGGAGGTGGTGGGTCCAGAGCTCTCTGGTCACCCCCGGGGTGGTTGATGCCTGTGTAGACTTCACTAAGCCCAGTTCTTTGAAGAAGTAGGTGGGTCTGGTCATCTTGTCTCCATCTTGAGGCCTGGTTTTTAGCCGATGTGCAGCTGTGGTGTGTTTTACCTTTGTCCTGGCCCTCTCCAGGACTTAGCCCTATCTGACTGCCTATAATATTTCAGCCCAGCTTATCTATCTATAATAGTATCACTGGCCAGTTGGATGGGCTTGTTTTTCTCTAGCTCATGACTGAATGGACTACTGTGGGTGCCTCTTTTTGGCTCAGTCACTAAAAGGAACATTTTTACCTACATGAGAACCACAGGTATATTAGTTGCCTGGGGCTGCCATAACAAATTATCTCTGAATTAGCAAAAAGTGATAGTTATTCTCTCACAGCTTTGGAGGCCAGAAGTCTGAATTTGAAGTGTTGACAGGACCGAGCTTCTCTGAAGGCTCTAGGGAAGAATCTTCCCTTATCCTTTCCTAGCTTTTTGTGGCTTCTGACAATTCTTGGTGCCTTTTGGCTTGGAGGAACAGCATTCCAGCCTCTGCTTTTGTGATCACAAGGACTTCCTCCTTCTGTCTCCTCTCTGACTCTGCATCTACATCTTCCTCTCCTTTTTCTTATGAAGTCATCAGTCATGGGATTACAGGTGACTCTAATCCAGAATTACATTATTTGATATTAATTACATCTGCAAATATCCCGTTTTCAAAAAAAGTTATATTCACAAGCACTAGGGGTTAAGATTTGAAGATAATTTTGGGGGTAAGATACAATACAACCCACTACAATGGGAATATATAAAAAGTTGGGATGATAAAAAAGGGCAAAACCAAATTCCAAAGGACCAGTGTGTGGCATATTAGTATTCAGGCATTCCACTCAAGAAATGGAATTTTAACCTAAGATTTATACCTTCTCCTTAATCCTTGGTCTCCTCACTTACTCATGTGTTGCTATCTGTCCCCCTCCACCTCCCAGACACCATCCCTAAGATTTTAGAATACCACCAAGTTTTGGAGTTGGAATGCTTCTCATATTATTTGAAATTCCCAAAAGGACAGATATTGGGGGCAAATACTTTTGTTTTACCCAGAGAGGCAGAACTGACTCTTGTCCTTTATCCAGGCTTCATTTCTTAGATTAGAGCTATCTATCTAGCCGGTGTGAGAATTGTAGTAAAGTGACTTTAAAATCAAATACAAGATCCTTCTGACTAATTATCAAGGCCAAATGTTATAGGAGCTCTGAGTGTTTGAGCCCAGTATGAACACAGGGCTCAGGATCTATTAGCTGCCAATGACTCTTCCTAAATCTAAGATAATTCTTCAGGGTTAGTTAGGACTTTTTCCATAGTAAAGGATATAACTATAATGCCAATAACTTTTTGCCCAGAAGGAATCTGTTGACTTATGTTATGACATAGTCCAAGGAGTTGTCTAGCTTTAGGGATAGCTGAATCTAGGAGTTCATTAATGCCTATGGGTTTCAGAGAAAGACTTCTTACCACATTTCAGGAAGTGACTCTTTGAATTTAGCCTGGGAATAATCTCAGTGGCCAGACCAGGGAATTTCTCGGATTGCCCAGGACAGAGTTACTTGCCACAGTGGACTAGTAAGGTAGCCCTAGCTGCTGTAACAAGTAGCCCTACCAACCTTAAGATCCAGCACAATAGGTGTTTACCTTTCAGTCACATAAAGTCCAACCAGGAGAATATTCTGGTTAAGGCCCTGCCATCTTCCACATATGATTTCTAAGGTCAGCAAGACCATCACTGCTTAGCCAACAGACAGGGCAAGGGAAACTGGGTCATGACACAGGGCTTCTTTTTCATAGACCAAGTCCACATCTCATTAGTGAAAACTCAGTCACACAAAAAGACTGTCATGGTGTTGGGGAATATAGTCTGGTTGTGAGCTTAGGAGGAGAGAAAAGAAGTTTGTTGAATGAGTAGCCTTTTCTGCCACAAATCATAAGGCTGAACAACATTATGAGAGGACAAGGGAGGAGTGACCTCCCAAGGAAAAGGACCCAGGGCAGATTTTACTAGTGTCCCTTGAACCAACTCATAGACTGCTTTGGACACATCTGACTTAGCAGCTGTTAGCTATAGTTGGAACCAATAGAGGTATCATTATCTATTGCTATGTGACAAACTGTCCCAAAACTTGATGGTTTATAAGAAAAATTTTGTCATACTTTTTTCTATTATGGGTTAAATTTTTTGGACAAGTCTCAATCTCATGACTCTTTGGCTCTATATGTGGGAACTAGGGTCACTCAGTGGCATTTATCTGGCAGGTGGACTGGTCTGGAGCATCCACCACACATAACTAACTATTCACATCTTTTGTGGCTTGGTGGGGATGGCAGGAAGGCTGGGCTCAGCTGGGCTCCTCTTCCTCTCCACATAGTCTCAGCATTGACTGTGATCTCTGCCAAGGGACAGCTGACCTTCTTATATGAGGCTCTAAGAGACAGAGTTCCGAGAGTCTGAGGAGGAAGATGCATGGCTTCTAAAGACCTGGCCTTCAAAGTCCCAGAGAGTCACTTCTGCCACATTCTGTTAGTCACACAAGGTATGAAGACCAGTCCAGATTCAAGGGGAGGGGAAATAAATCTCCTCTCAATTGATATCAGCTTTAATCAACCACAGATCCTTTTCAGCCATGTGACATTTTCATGTGGGAGCTGTGAATTTGGAGGTCTTTCTTGCTCTATGGGGGCTATAGGGATGAGCCTCAACTTTATTGTCTGCTGCCTGAGGTCCTGGCAATTGAGCTCCTGGTATTGAAGTTCTTATTTTAACCAGGCCTTAGGAGGCAGGACTGCAAGTTCTGGAAAAGGAGTCCAGTGTTCTTGTTTGGAGACATAGGACAGCATTCTGCATCAGGCATAATAAGAAGGGTGACACCTGTTCCTGGAAGGGGTATCTAGGTATAGCCAACGGCAAATGTGACAGCTGTTAATTGCTCATTCTAAAAGCTTTACACGCACTAACTTGCTAAATATTTTTAGCAACCCTATGATATAAGTACTGTAATTATGCTCATTTTATAAAATAAGAAACCAAGGCACAAAGAGGTTAAGTAACTTGCCTGCTGCAAAATGAAGAACCAGTATTCAAATCCAGACAATCTGGGTCCAGAGACCACGGGACCCAACCAAGTAAAATGCTAAAACTAGTAGCCATCTCTGTAACACCCATGAGCCTTAGGGTTTAATATCACCAACAGGTGGTTCATAAGTCTATCATCAGCACTACTAGGGTGATTTACTTTCAGCCAGATATTTCCTTTGTGAGTTTGTAGATTTCTGTGCTAAAGCAATCTTTACCTTCAAGAATTAGCTAACTCTTTAAGTCAGGGGGACTGGCATACCTATCTCTCATGGTTTCCTAGAGCTCACATGCAAACTAAGCAAAATAAGTCTGTGTTACACTCTAACCATGTTGTTGTAAACCTAGGTTGTTGATGTTAAGTCACATTACTAGATTTTCTGATGATCCAGTGGGTGTGGGAGGCAGTACAAAGCACCTTCATGTGAAAATCTAACTTTCTGAATTTCTAGTCAACAGGGACTAGAAGCCATGCAAAATCCAGACTTTCTCAAGGAAAATGTTGCCATGGGATTTTCTTGCAGGCCTTTTAGCTAAACTAATCCCACATCATGACCTCTTGCTCCTAGCTGTGTGCGCTTTGCATCTACCCTTGTAAACTAATTTTCTTCTGAGAAGAAGCAGAAAACCCCTGCGGAAGAGTAACTGGAAACTTCCAGGCATTTTGTAGGATTGGACGGTGGGGGCTTCTTGGCAGAGGCAAGCACTCTGTGCCTGGCATCACGTAGGATCTGCATGGCCCTCTGGCCATCTCCGTCCTCCTACATGGATGGCAGATGGCCTTTTTTTTTTTTTTGATAAAAGGAAAAGTAGGAGGGAAATCAGGCTTAGCAGGCAGAATTTGGAACTATCCAGGCAGCACAATTGAGTTGTGAATTTGTTTGTTTGGAAATTGGAAGTGGTGCCTTCCCATTTCACTTGCCTGCAGCCTCTGCCACTTCTAGGAACATTGAAGGTCCTATGAAATTTTTTTCATTAGCAAATCTCTGACAGGATGGTGAAGGTTGTGGTGAATGGAGGGGGGTCATTGACAGTCCCTAGGACCTTGTACACATACATCTGTGTATTCTATGACCATTGTGAAACCTCCAGACATTAACCTCCCCTTAGCCCTAAAATAGTCCTGGGAAAGGGGTATCCCAAAGATCAGTTTTGAGTGGTTTAAAAGAAAAAAGAGTGAAAAATCAGAAATGTCCACTTCTAACAGAGAAGATACAGAATGCCAAGAAGAGATGGTGGAGATCTTATTGGATTCTGCTGCCGAGTATGGAACTGTTAACTTCATCTGTCCCCCATTTAGTGCAGAGTATGGGGAGGGGGCAGTGGGGACAACAGAGGAGAAACAGAGGGCCTGGAATCCAGATTCCCAATTCCTTGGCCTGATCCCTCTGGGCCAAGTGTCCTTCATCTGGCCAGCTTCTTTTTCTGGTTTTCAATTTCCTTATTGGTAAAAGCACAAAACTGAATTTTACAGCTGAGAGGGATTGGAGAAGAAATCATTCCTATACATAATGTGACCACTGAAGAACAGAAAGACCTCAGTGGCAAAGCAGGACATAAGGGCATTGGTGAGGCCATGGGAGAGGCTCCTGATTTTGCCTTATTCCAAAGTCTGAGGGAGGAAGGAAATCTCCCCTCCCTCTGCCCCTTCCCAGAGCTTTCTCATCTGGTCAGCGCTGGGTCCTACTGATGAGCTGCCGCCAGGAGCTGAACTGGGAGAGGAGCAGGTGGCCAGAACCACAATCTTGTCCCCTGCTTCATCTTGGGGCATTCTGTTCCGAAGGCTCTGCTCTCCCTTTCTTCCCGGTGTCTCTTCATGATTCAGTGAACTTCTTGGTTCTTTCTTCTTTCCTTCCTCTTCCTAGCTCCTTTCTCCTACTTTTCCTCTCCTCTTCTTCCTCCTCCTTCTCCTCCTCTTCTTTCTTCCTCCTCCTCCTTCTCTTCTCCTTCTCCTTCTCCTTCTCCTTCTCCTTCTCCTTCTCCTTCTCCTTCTTCTTCTTCTTCTTCTTCTTCTTCTTCTTCTTCTTCTTCTTCTTCTTCTTCTTCTTCTTCTTC